TGTGAACCGCCATTGCAGAGACGGATGCGATATTGATGAATAAATCAAAACATGTGATGACCACAATGCGTCGTCACTAACATTCACACTGTGGTGATAAGGATGCGACAGAGGCAGAGGTGTACAAAGCGCGCGAGGAACAGCGATGAATCGTTTATTCTACCGAAGTGAAAACCTACCATCAATCCTAATAACTTAGATGTGACCATAATGAATTCTTTCTATGCACAAGAATATTGGATAACCTATAACGAAGGATGGAATGCAATCCAGAGACAAAAACGTGTGAACACTTCCGAAGATGAGCTTCGGTGGCATGTAAGCTGACATAAAAGCTACCGACGCTGCATAAACATTTGTACAGACTGTCCGGTCTCGATAGAAAAAAATCACATGACCAGCGCCGATTCACAAAGCATGCAAAGAGCAATTGACAGATTAACACGTTCTGTCGCTCCGTTTGACATGTGCTTTGCATCTTCAAAGTGCAAAGCGATGCTGAAAGACTGGGTGTCACCGAGATCCGTTCCGAAACTAGAAGGTCAAGAATTAGCTGAAGTTCACTGTTTCTCGTACTTAGACGGCTGTGACTAAAGACGGTAGCGCATCAAAGGAGATAACCACCCGCATTTTCAAGGCTTGAGCAGAATACACAGGACATAAATACTGGGGCGACGACGTGACGTCTCACTGAAGTTGAAAAGTCGCGTGTACTGCACCACTGTATGATCGGTTCTGCTGTACGGTTGTGAGGCCTTGAATTTGCTGGTAGAAGACATCCGTCGTTTAGCACTTTTCGACAATCGATGCCTACATAGTCTGGCCCAGGTGGGATGGAGTGAGCGGGTTAGTAACTTGGAAATAAGTTGTCGGGTGTGTGGGAATGCACCGAACAAGAACTCACTATCGCATCGAATCTAGCTAAATAGGCTCCGGTCTGCGTATGCCCGACGGTCGCCTACCGCAGAGCGCCTTATTCGCGGTGACTGTTGCAGGCTGGAGGAAGCCACGTGGAGGCCAGCAGATGATGTATGATGTATGAAAAAATGCACAGCGATTAAGTAGAGTAGGTGTCTCTCGTTGTCATGGCAACAAACCCACAGCAATGGCGATCTTGCTGTCACTTCTTATCAGACAAGAATGCTTGAAATAGTAGATATGCACAGTTGGACTGTGTACTCTATGTGTTGACCATAAACGTTCGCTTTATTTTTCTGTCCCTCAAACTAGGCCCAATCTCTATCCTCCTTGCACACTCTCACTTACCTTGTATGCATTATGAGTTTGGCAACGATCAGTGAAGTTCGCTTCACTGTATGCCGCTTTACAATGATGATGATGAAGATGATGAGTGACCTATTCGTGAGCTCGTGGAACGAAATGCACTGCAGTTCACACTTGGCATCTAACATTTGTTGATTGGGTTGGGCTTGATGGTTTCATTACAACCCGGGGTTGATGTTATCCGTGAAATTCCATAGAGAGAGGTTTGTTCGTCGAATGAGATTCTGTAACGATGTACTCTACGGACTACGTAGGACGTAAATCAACGTCACAGAAAACGATCACAATTTTATCCGATTACAGCAACACAAAATAGGATACAAAAGATCTTCACCACTGTGGATTCAGCGTTTATGTCTGCCAGGACCTAAAGCTTATTAAAACGCTTTCAGATCAACGATGAGAAAGACTAAAAGAATCAACTGTCTAGTTTATCAGGTAAATCTACAGGTTTGGTGCACTAATTTATTTGATCGTATAAAAAAGTGCTTTACAATAGACCAGAAAAAACATAAGGACTTATATACAGTGTTGTCACGGTAAACACTAAAGACGAGTGACCCAGATGCCAGTGAAGCCGGGAGCATCGTAAATGATTGAATAAACCGAAACTTACACGGTATTGGAATTCAAACCTGGGATCCGATGTGTGACAATACCCGCTATTTAGTAGAACATACACCATCCAACGTAAAAGGTTTAGCCCAGTAGTCGACGCTTTCGCACTACTAAGTAAAGCTCTGGACTGGCAGTATTTTCTTGAAGTCAAACTAGTAATAACCTCAGACAGTGCTGAAAAAGTTACTGTTGAATTGTGTTCAATAGCTTCGTTATCACCCACCTAAGTATTAAGCTTCTTTTATTATCGCTTTCTAGCAGTTTTGCTTTCTCAAGTCCCATTATCACGAAGTAGGTTCTCATTGTTATACATCACGACATAAGGTGTAATAAAAGGCGGTCCAAGAACCCTGTTTCATAACCTTATCTACCTGTACAGTCGATTTGCATGTATACTCGTTGTACCGGATTGATGCCCGATGATAGAGTGACTTGCAGATACCGAACCAAGAATCCGTGGCAGAACACAAGGTTGGGAAATCTACGTGTACTGTTGCATAATCAATCATGAATTAATGGAAATACAAGGGCATACCTCAAATTACGGGCAACCCGGTCTGGACAAAACAATCGGTTCGACAAGACAAGGGCAAACGTACCAGGAAGACACTCTCTTGAAAGTTGGAGGAGGAATGCGGTGTGGATATATTGACAGTGCTATTAAAAGGGCGGTGAGGACCAATCACAGGGACGGGATAGAGAAATGACACCAAAGGCGTGTTTGGAGCGACAGGTGGCAACCGTAATCACAGTGTGAGACAGTAGACAACGGACACGAGGAGGGTGTCTGGGGTGGTTAAGCACACATTTTCCTAGAACGGTCAATTAGACTCTAGGGTGAAAAACCTCATTTCCATTAGAGCCCCATGGATCTGCCAGGTGGAGATAATCACTGAAGATATTACAAGAACTATTCATCTAAAACCAAAACGTAACATACGAACCAGGAAGAGGTGATCGCCTTGGACTGCGACTAGTGGAGCTGTACATTTCCAGATGCGTCTGCAAATGGACAAGCAAATACCCAGTTTGGGAGTGGGGCGTGGACAGATGTATGTGTTTATTCACTGAATCAAGGGTCATCGACAATCAGTGGCAACGTCCAAGGATGTGATGAGTTTTGTTAGGCAATCTCTCTAAGACAAAACACTACATTTGTAAAAATTACCGTGGCGCGCGCGAATCTGGTCCGCCATCAGCACCCTCAAACGGTTGCCTTAAAAAGAGAAATTGATCGTGTAGTGGCTAAATAAACATTCTAAAGGAAAAGAATTATCACTTGAAAACACTTTATTAAATTGGTCCATTGATTCCAATGCCTGAGAAGTTGATTCCAATTTCGTGATCCCTTTATACTAACAGACAAAGCCGAATCCGGGTCTACGGCACTTTTCACCCGAGTTCAATACAGAAACTGGCGTTCGTCGGGGTTGCTCACCCTCTCCGTTTCCATTCAACTTTGTGATAGATTTAATTTTTGAAACGGCCTTATCCTCGTGTAAGGATAGCGGCATTCATTTGCTCCAATGTGGTAGACTGTCTGACCTGGAGTATGCAAACGACATTCTGCTGATAAGTGAAGATCCAGATAAGTCGCAAGCTCTTCTGAATAGTTTCAAAGTGTAAAATGCTGCTACAAGACTGGATTGGTCTAGCACCCAACCTCATTCTAACTGGGGAAGTGGTAAAGGAAGTAGATAAATTTTGCTATCTGGGCAGCTATATCTCACATGGCGGACGCGTCACAGATGAAGTGTCGGCACGCATACAGAAGGTTCGACTAGCACTTGCCAACTTGAGACATCTGTGGCGCGACATGTACCTGTGTGTGAAGGGCCGAGTGTACGCTGCAGCAGTTAGGTCAGTGCTGCTATACGGGGCAGAGGCTTGATCATTATGGGAACAGGATGAAAATACATTTTCGGTGTTCGAACATAGCTGTCTACCCCATATTGTACGAGTACCGGGGGGAAACCGGACACGGAATGCTGAAGTTAGACGGAGTTTTAGATAATCGCGGTCATCCACTGGAACACGTGGTCGACCTCTATAGACTACGCTGGTTGCGATGTGTGTTGCGCAAGTCCCCAAATAGGTTGCCACGGCATGCGATGCTCACCGAGACAGGCAGCGGATGGAAAACGGTTAAGGGCGGTCAAACTATGAACTGGCATAACGGTATCAAAACCCTAGCCATGACACTGGGTCACATAGGTGCCATCAGGCTCCTTGGATGGGAACCCCGAGATCATAGTCACCAGTGGTTAGACACTGAGCGACATGGCTGGGTGTCGCACCCAGTGGCGCTCGTGCATCTACTCATCATTCTCGCAACCCCAGTTTATATGAATTCACTATCTTTACTTAGACTATGCTCTCAACAACCCAACCTTTATTTTCCTTTTGTTGATCGTGACCGATGGTTAGAGACACTGAGCGATATTGCTGGGTGTCGTAAACAGTGGCGTTCGTGCATCTCCTCAATTTCTTCCCAACCTTAGTCCACTGAACTTCTCCATTTTCCTTTCGAATCCACTTTCAACTTTCCTTTCTTCTCCTATTCTTCATTCCAATGGGCAGCCAAAAGACAGCAACCAAAACCGGCGCACGAAAGTGTATGGTTAATGGTTGTTCAAACTGAAAACTGAAAAACTTTCCTTTTGTATGCAAATGAGCAGTCAAAAGACAGCAAACAAAACCGGAGCGTGAAAATGCACGGTTAATAGTTGTGAAAAATGAAACAGCAGCGGACTTGCTCTCGCGTAGGACAGTCGCGTTGAAGTAAGAACTATCCTCGGATCGTATATGGGTGAAATAAGAAAGTACAACGATGTAAGTATAAACCGAATAATACGCATATAGTGTGTAAATTATGAGAAAACAAATACAGTTGGAAAAAAACGAACAATCATGAACTGTTCTTTAGAAGGTAACTTGAAAGCAAATCGGATTTAGTGATTTCTCAATGGAATTACACTCACTTCATCGTACTCCGCGAATTCATCTCGTTCTGCTTGTGTACAACTACGGCCAACCGGGCAGATGTTGATTAACCCCTTACGGAATTCAACAAACGTCCCGCGTTTTCTGGGTAGTTCCAATTTTGATAGGTAACCCAAAGCATAATTTATAAACTTTTGAATCAATTCCTCTCCCAAATAATCCACAATGCTCTGCAAGAATTGATTCTTATCAAAGAACGGTTGTATGAACTACCTACTGTACTCTGAATCAGTTTTCCAAATCGGTGCACAACCAGGCCATTTTCGGAGAACACGTAACCGATTTTCTCCATGACTAAATATGGGAATTGGTGGTGAAAAACAAAGACCGGGAAAGATAACACTTACCTGGTTCTCCACCGAGTTGCCACGCCACTTTGGCAAAATCTGAGCCACTGACCACTGCAATGGGGACACGTGATTGAAGAGCCAAAAGCTGTTGTAAAAATCCTGGCTCTATCACATTCCGCGGCTTCGTCAAGGTTCCATCCACATCAAACAGACAAATCACACCCTTATTCATTGTGACCGTTCTGCAAGGAAAGGTGCATATTAAAAACAATCAACACATTTCACAATGAATACTACCTACGAACCATGTAAATAGTCACTCTCCCATCTGGACAAACACTGGGTCGAAACCGACTATGTATTTTTTTCACCGTTAGAATATTAAATAAGGGGGCACTAAAGGACTATATTTCGAAGCATAATGAACTTTGTCATATATTGAAAGCAGAGGAAATGTGAACTGCAAAGCATTTCAAATCCTGTTGGGTCTAATCAGCAGCTATCATCATCATCATCATCGTCATCATTGTAAAGCGGCATACAGTGAAGCGAACTTCACTGATCGTTGCCAAACTCATAATGCATACAAGGTAAGTGAGAGTGTGCAAGGAGGATAGAGATTGGGCCTAGTTTGAGGGACAGAAAAATAAAGCGAACGTTTATGGTCAACACATAGAGTACACAGTCCAACTGTGCATATCTACTATTTCAAGCATTCTTGTCTGATAAGAAGTGACAGCAAGATCGCCATTGCTGTGGATTTGTTGCCATGATCTTCATTGTCTCAAACCAAGCGATTACGGAACCTTTTGGACCCCAACCGTGAAGACGAGAGACACCTACTCTTCCTAATCGCTGTGCATTTTTTCAGACATCATGCCCACGTCATCTCATCGGCAGTGGGAAACCATTGGCCCAACCGAAGATCGCTAGTCTAGGACCGCATAGGCCGAGTGNGTGCAAGCTACTTCCCACCGGACAGCTCTTTTTTTAATGCAAGCCATTCTTTTAAGTGTGCTGGGAGCATCGAACCTCGCTCATCATACCACGTAATGATCAGGTTTGAGAACTAACAAGAATTCAACGAATGTCAACTGACATCACTGGAGATCGGAGATCAAGGATATGTTCTAGTATGAACAACAGTGTAGTTATCTACCGCAAAGTCTTGAACCTTAGAGCCAAAAGAACGGTACTGATGGCGAATAAAACCGATTGATCGCCATCACTACGTTGTGAGACCATGCCTTCCCAAGCTGAAAGCGCCAAATAACTTTTTCATTTGTCCACCGATGTCTTCAAGATAAAGTTTGTGTCTAGTGGGAGAATCAGGGGAGCAATGACGGTGTGCTGGATGCTAGCAGTCGTTCTGACAGAAAATCGTTCTGCATCAAACCCGATGGTTCTAAAACCGCTGTCCATCGTTTAACTCATTATGTTCTCTTCGCGAGTGCCTAAAAAAGGCTAAAATAAGCGTTGCGGTAGTCGGATCATAACTTTTCGTTGGGGTCACAAGAACCTAGTTTTGGTAATGACTCCAGTTGTTGCATGCAGTGTACCTTGTGACGACCTAAAAATGATTACTGACTGGTTAGATAAACCGAGAAATAAAGCTCGTAACGGAATTCAGTAGCACGAGTACTGTACGAATTATCCGCTAAAATCAACCCTGATAACATAGTGAAGCGGTTTTTTGGTCCAAAGAAGCTTACTTCGTTGCAATTTCCTCAAGGGACGTAGAACGACATAAAACGGTATATAGCTCGAATATAGAAGTTAGGAACATGGGTCTACACAAGAAATCCATGGTCATTTTCCTGCATCTGTACAGGTTTAAACTGCGGTTAGGGTGATTTTACAGTCAGTGAGATAACTGTGAAACGACGACAAGATAGCTAATCACAACAGACAACACAACAGCGCGAAAAACGAAAGAGAGTACGAGTCAATCACCAAAGCGAAGTAAATGTGACCAACCATTGACATTGTTTGCATAGATCAGAGAGGCAGCTTTGCTGTCGCCTGGTTCAGTACCACGCCTAGCCTAAAGGGGCCTTATGTGGTTCGCCACTTCAAATTCCGGGGCTTATGTTGCCAGTTTCCGTGGCTGAACA